TACACATTGCGGTACTTGTATGACCAAATTATATCTTGGTTTGTTTGCGTTTTACGTCCTATTAACAGCTATGGTCATTTAAGGACGTGTCAGGTTTTGGTGGTGGAGGAAAGTTGCAGGAAATAACACCGACCTATGGCCAGTACCTGGCGACTGCCCCACGTAGGCCTCAAACTCGCGACCCAGTGGTGGAGGGCTAGTGGTAGCAGATTGTCAGACGCCTTAACCACTTGGCCAAAGTGGCCCCCAAATAATAAGAGAGGAAATGAACAGAATTTCATCAAAAACAGAGTTCTGAATTTACAAATAAGCTTGGCTAGAGCCAGGATTCGAACCATGGACCTCCAATTGTTATATTGTCGCTTTAACCAATGGAGCTGCCTGGTCAACGGAAGTCTCCTGGGCCAATTGCGCTACAGTTATATCCAAAACAAACTCAAGGAGATATTTCTGTATATACAAAAAAAAGCATAGTCGAGTTATAAAGTGCTTTGCCTGCATTGGTACAAGAGTCCTCCAAATTGTCCAGTTCTATGTTTCACATTAAAATGTTCGATATTGTTATAATATATTGATATCAAAATCTTTTGTACGATGACATTCAAACTTATTGCGTTTATATTTGATCAAAAGTAGCCCCTTAAAGAAAACAACGGTATGTTTTGGGACAAATTTTTAATAGAATGTCTGGTATTTTACAAATCAGTGGTTAATCGCTCCGTATTGCCACATTCGTAGAGCTGATTACAATACGGCAAGAAATGGCAAAATTGCCTTAAGTAATGAACGCATTCAGTTTATTCAATCCTGTCTATGTAAGGAAATGAATTTTATTTGAATTTTAGGAATATATCTATAAAGAATACATTCCCCTAGCGTTAACGATCGAATTTAATCCATTCATCAAGCAGAACTGTGTGTTACAATACAATGCATACCAAATGAAGACGGACGTTAAAGGATAGAGGGACGTAATCAAGCTATTAGAATAATGATATAATTTACATAATGAGAAACATTAATAGTTACAGTCCAAAGAGTAATTATCATAACACGCGCCGCAGTGGTCGAATATTATTTAAAGAAGGTAATTTTCGAAAACCTCAAACTTGCCTGCCAAGAGATATTTAACCTATCTGAGACCGTCTAAAGCGTTTTAAACCCCGTAAACAACTGGTAAGCAAGGGTTCGACTTTATGCGTCATTAGAATCAGGAGACATAACTCTAAGCCATTAAAGGCCAAACAGTCTGTCAATTAATGCTGAAACAATCAAACAGGATTTCTAAAAGATGAATGTATTCTATACAGTGCAGTCCGCGGCCCTTTGCACTTGTTCACAGCAGTTCATTAAACGGTATGTGTAAGTGTGTTTATAGAATAGCTTGAACATAAATTCTACTACGTCAGCAATGTAACAGCAATTTTCATTAGTTGATAAGCATGCATTATTGGATACAGTAGTAAAACATGTGCGTTGATTGGTTACTTTCCGCCAAAACATGCACATGCAACGCTCTTCCGAAAGATTCCCTCGAAACGCAAATGTAAACAGGTGGGCCGAGCGTGGCTGGTCTTTGAGGAATTGACTTTGACACGTAGCGATCTTTGTTTGTTATTATTTTAGCATATTTTCCTCTTCGTTAAATATTTCACAATGATATACACACGTCTTGGTTATTTCTGAAGTATATGGAGACATTGGAGAGAAACGTCTGGTATTAATCACTGTTGTTTGGAAGAAAATTGTATCAGAAATATATCACATCAGATAGTCAATTTATTCTTAAGCTTAAACATATTTGTATGTATGTTTTTATGTATTTAATGCCTTTGTTATTTACTGAATCAGAACTGGACCCATATTTTTTTTATAAACGGATATATTGCGCTATATCCTCATTGAAAACCCGGACATTAGATTGATAATGTAAAGTACATATTTAAACAATGAAGATTGATACTAGAAACATTACCGCATATGAAATCGAGCGCAAAAGAATCTATTGATAAAATCAAGCAAAGGAAATGTCCAATCATGTGCAGTTGTATGGTTTAACACACAAATCAATTGTACTGGTCGAATTACATTGCATGTGAAGTTGGATATTTCTGTGGCAAACCTTGAACTGTTGAAACCTGGAATTGCTGTGTGCAGTTATTATGTTGAAATGTTTGATAAATGAGTAGCATTATAATTGTCAAAAAGATATGTCAACACCCTCAAGGAATTGATTAACCCCCTTCCTCCACTCCTTTTATAAACAGGATACGATCAGTACATGCACGGTTCACGCTTTGGTAATGACAGGACGAAGAAAAAGAATCCGATACCCTATACTTAAGACGACAGGGGTGTACTATATGAGTGCACATCAACCGGAAGTAACATTTATTTTCATTTAATACACATAATTATATATATATTCCAAATCCAATTTTTTTATTTTTTTATCACATCCTGACAATCTTCCCCCAGTTGCCAGTCCCAGACTGACAGATGTTAACGTTGTGTGCCACACACCATGTTTATTTGACGTTCTGTTTCAGAGCTTCATGAGTCAGAATTGCTCCCACAGTCGTGCATTAGTGTAATATAACTTTATAACACGGATAACGTGAAAACATCCCCACAGATAGTTTGGTGTACATGAAGATGCAATCATACCACTGATACCTTGTACTTGTAATAATAACACATTGTTTCTCGAAGGATTTATATCACTTTCTATGTGTAGATATGTATTGTACCACTGTTTTTGTGTGAATATAATTTTACCACTGTTTTGGTTTGCATGTATTTATATTACTATATATTTGTAGATATGTATTGTACTACCGTTTTGTGTAAATATGATTTTAGCACAGTTATGGTTAAGATGTAAATATATATTTTATGTTTTCATGGAACTGTGTCACTGCATATTTTGGTATGTGTAATTTATCGCTGTTTTATAGATGGACATTAAACTGTTTCATTGTTTGTAGTAAAAAATGTCCCTGCTATAGTTTGGTGTAGATGAACTAGTACAGTACATCTGTTTTGCTATACCATAAATTTATGAAAACATAGTTGAAGGACTGGGTTTTTTTGTATAGAATTAAACCACTCTTTTGATTAGATCGAATTGTACTACACCTTTGTGTAGGTATAACTGTACTTATAATTAACCTCACATTTGTGAAGATATAATTGTACCACATGTCTGTTTAGATATTTTTGCACTTGTGGTTTGCTACATAAACAGTAAAACATCGATATAATGCCCCTCGTTTTCATTTACCAACACATTAACCGCAAACATATGGAAATATTCCTTCTTCTTGTTTTCTTAGGAATTCCCTTATACACTTCCCTCAATTTATCTTCAACTCCCTTTAAAACGCCAACATTTCTCTGGACAAACGTTGGCTGTAAAACGCGGTTTGAATGTAACCATACCACTTTCTTATGTAGATGTTTTATTTTACCAGGGATGCTCGGTTCTGGTCAAGCTGCAGCTGATATCCACCATAACTCCTAGACACGGAAGCTAAAAGAGGATGTGATATTTAGACCCAAAAGTGTTTTGTTATCGAATAAACTCTTTCTCTAGAGAATTTCTAGTATAGATTTGCATGCATGTGGAAACTTTAATTATCCCAGGGTTGTAATTCAGATCCTGAATTTCCGGGTGTAATTTTTTTTATTACATCTCCCCTTCTCGAGTAAATGTCGAATCCCGGCTCCAGGGGGAAGTAACTGTATAATTCCATTTTTAATCGAATCGGCATAGAGCATACGACAGGATTGGGGTATTATAATTACGATCATCAACCGAGGGAAGGTCAAATCTTACGACATTCATACGACACCCATTCCTTTGAGACAATGTGCCTAATAGTAACATTCAACGTGACAAAACTTATCTATGTTTACCGTAATCCTTTCACCCCTATGTAACTCAAGTAAACTCTACCACGCAGTGATCTTGAGGAGTTCATTGTGGTCTACAGTGGTGAAAAGGTAAAGACTTTAACAACACCGAAAACAAGTCACGCCGACCTCCTAATTTTAAGTTTCTTGTCTAATTAAGGAAATCGAAATTCAAATATTTCTAATCGGCAAATGAAACGAAAATGTGTTGATTCTCGCTGATAATGCTGCGCATTTAAAAGATTAATAGAAACGTTTACTTAATCAATAAATTGTTTTCATCCCCAATTTTTTTCTCCATCACATCACTAAATCTTGTATGTGATTGTGTTCTGATTAAAGCGTAGGATTTTCGTGGTACTCTATATTAAATCTGTATATTTGGGGGACGGTTTTTTTTCTGCAAAGCTGTTTAGCATGATCTTGAAAGGCAATTAGTACATTGCATCTAGGAGAATCCGGTCTGGATTTCGTGCAATTAGTTTCAGATACATGAAGGAGAATTGCTAAATTGTTTTGTATCAAAGATTAAATATCATTTCCGAATAATTCCTATATTTTAGGTTTTTGATTTTGGTTTTAGTTCTGTAATCTTGACACTAAAACCCTTTTTGGAGATTGAATAATCGATTTGGTTTTGTTCGTGTTTTACGTCCTTTTGACAGTTCAAAGGGAGTGCAACGTTTTGCCGGTGGAGGAAAACTGGAGAACCCGCAGAAAAACCACCGACAGCGGCCAGTACATGGCGACTGATGCCGTTTTCCAGGTCCGACATTTTTTAAACAAGGATCATTACACATTCTTGCTGAAGAACATTAGGGAAACTGAGACAAAAAATAAATTTCGAATGTTCAAGATTTTACTCGAAACTTCGACAAATCAACTCGAAATGCTGACTTACTAACTCGACATAGTGAGAAAATTATTCGAAATTTTCTGTCAAAATATCAAAATTTCGACTTGATAAAAATACAATTTTATTGTTTTTTCAAGTGGTCCAAATGCTCTTCTGTACACTTTTGTTCCTCTATGGGTGCCTTAAAGGCCCAAGTTTGTTTGATTAATCGACCTATGAATGTACTTACGTATGAAATCATTGGAAGGTTGAACGCGGCTGCCACTCGTCCCTCGTGAATACACGTCTCCTGGGGCCCAATGTAGGCCCATATATCCTTACTTAGGAGTTCCACAGTTTGTTTGATGCTAATCAATTCCATTCCATAAGTTTCCGCGATCACAAACTCCAAAGTGTGGTTCGGAAGGATGTGGGGGTCTTCGTTGACTTCCTTCACGGCTAGAGTTATCGCCCCGGATATGGACTGTCCGGGACGATGGTAAAACTGGTTGATGTTGTACCTCTCTGAGCCTGTTATATAACCCAACTTGATCACTTCCTTGCTAAGTAATCCGGGAACATTTTGAAACACACACATTATTATCACTACCACACTATTCCAGGTCACGATTGCCATTTTAAGAATTAATCCAGAACGTTATGTCCACATATCTAAAACTATAGGAAGATTGTCATAGCAGTCTTGTGCTGAAATCATTCTGGGTCTTTAAAAAAAAAGAAAAAAGAAACATGAAACAATTGGTCATTCAAACAAAAAACGAAATACGTTTAGCTGCTTAAACAAGAAAACAATTTGTCATTCAAACGTGAAAATATTCGACAGGTACACTCAATCACGAAGAAACGAATAAGATATTCCCTTGTGAATTTGAATTCAAATATGCAACCAAGAACTTAATAGCCAAGACATGAAAATGCTGAACTCTGTACGTAAATACATGATCGTTAGAACACAAAAGTACTGTCCACTCCAGGTGACTTTATAAGATATTTCCTTGTAAGTATGAATACCAACACTTTACTGCAGCTAAGAAGTTAATAGCCAAGATGTAAAAAATCACTACTCTTGTAATAGTGTATAAGCATTAAGTTAGAAACACAAAAGCACTGTCCGTTCCAAGTGACTAAATACAATATTCCTTTGTCTATTTTAACCCGATATTTTATGGCGGTCAAGGTGTCAAGACTTTAAGAAGTCAATGGCTAAGACATAGGAATGCGCTGCACTTATACCACATACATACATTAAGTTTGAAGCATAACAGTTCTCTCCACTTCAAGTGACGTTAAACTATATTTCTTTGTCAATTTAAATTCCAATACTTCAGAGTAGTCAAGATGTCAATAGCAGAGATATGGGACTGTTCTACTGTAATAACAATACATGATATGCTAAAAGTGTTAGAAACACAAAAATACCGCCCACTACTAGCGACACCGTGCGATATTTCTTCGTCAATTTGAATTCCAATATTGTACTGCATCCACGGTGGCAAAAGCAAAGACATGAGACTGTTCTACTGTTATAACAATATATGGTCTACAAAAGGTGTGAGAAACACAAGAGCACTGTCCGCTCCCAGTGAGCATGGCCTGGGCATGGGTGTTAATGTATTTCGAACAATCCACGCTTGTCTACTGCTATCATTGGCATGTCCAAACACCACATATTACCATAGTCAACTACAGATGGCAGTATTGATGCATTCCATTTACCGATTTCAATAATTCAAAGAAAATATTGGGTCTAACGTCGCCAGTTGCTGTCTATATTTGCTGGTAGCCCCCTCCACGCCACAAAGAGAAATGACCAGTATAGGAATTTCTTCCTCTGCTGCGGACAGCTTATACGTGCAAACCATTTCGTATGAGCTGTATGCTTCATAATATGCAGTAAGCATTGCTAAGTTATAAAATATCAGTAGAAGGTAACTCTTTTTTCTGCTTTTAAGATGATCATTAATGAATTATAATAAGGTAAGACTTTGTTTTTGGCTCGTGATATGTATGAAATGGAAAGTGTAAATGTTAAAATTGTTTTTGAATAGAAATAATATACCCAGTTACTCAACATACATAAATACAAGTGATATACTAACCAACGATTCGTCTACTGCATAACCGAACTACTCGGTACCGAAGTGGACTTAAAACCACTCAAACAAAACAAAAAACAAATCATATACCAACGAAAATCTTACAGCGTACTTCAAACAATGCTTACAGAAAATAAGGTTCTAATTAATACTAACGAGGACGTCACAGTTGCGATAATGACCTTTATAAATAACACATATGGAAACTTCATAAGTTCAATACTAAAACCAAGACTACGAGGTATCTGAAGAGTACTCACTTGTGGCTACAGAGACAATGCTTATGGACAGTATTTACCAGGCGTCTGCTATATACTCTAGATCTAGACCGTCCGGTACTTATTACACACAAACGAAACACACCCACACACTTGATTTTGAAACATGTCATTATATAATATACCTTACACTTATATACAATACAGATGGAGAGTTAAACATAAGTGAAGGAGTTTTGCATGTTGTACATCCGTAAGGCCGATTCGACTATATATACGTATATATGAACACCCTATACAACAATCAGTGTGTACTATAATATATGTATCTGATATAAATGATGTTAACAATATCTTTCATGGCGAAACGGAATTTAGGTTTCTCGCCAACCCATGGTCATGGCATTCTCATAGTTGTTATTCGCATGCAACCATTCAAATTAATACGCAGTTAAACTAATAAAAAGCACTTAGAGATATAACGCTACAGTAGCATACATACCTTATAAATACATGTGTCCGCCTTACTCCCTAGGGTTTTAACACGACCGTCATTGGTTACACCAAGTTAAGCCAACTAAACGAAAACACATGCCATTTTGTTCAGAATTAAATGTGTAACTAACACTTCCAGAAGTGAAACGCATGCACCGAGTTCCTCTATATCAGTTGTTGTAACACTAAGTTGTTATATATATATATATATATATATATATTCCGCTACAGCGGTCGGATAGAGAGTCCAGGGTACTGAACAGGCCATGGCTGAATGACCACGTTTTCCGTGACCTATATACAGATACGGGGAATACCTGCACGCAGGGAGGAGACCTCGGAGTTCAAATTACACCACTTATCTGATTGTGGCTAAAAAAAATACATTTTGCTAAATGTATTTATGATGTGTATAGCGAAGCAGAACGCGAAATGGCACACAAACAGCTGTCGCTCGGGGGCGGAACAGTAAAATTCAACCAGTCTTTCTAAAACTATAAATTCACGTGACATACTGATTACATGGCTACCTCGTTTAACGTTACAAGTTTGGTGACAGAACAAAGTGCGCCCACACCGTTTTATTAGCTCCAGCCTGAAGAGAAGACAGACTTATAACACTCACAAATCTGAATCACTCACACATTTCGGAAGTGGGAGGTCGTACTCGGCTCGGATTACCGGCGTATCTAGATCAATAATGACAGACAAATGCACACTTTCATAGACAGCGTCACTCTATGAAATATTGTTTAAGCAAGTATTAATCGGTGTATGCCTCACTAACTACAATTCTGTATCTGATACACGCTTGTTTTTTCTTAAACAATCAATTAGTTGCGCCGTCTGTGTGCCTGACATGCTTGAAGCGATACTGTAATTAATTAATTATGTAATTAATTAACCATTTATATTCCACCGCTCGGTACTTATCACATGGCGCGCCATGTATGAATAATGAGGAAAGGTCTAGATAAATGCAAAGCTTTAGTAAGCTTGCGTTATTTTGTTATTGGTGAGCCCATGCGAGGGGATGGGGAGAATATGATGAAATATTGCGGTCCCGCCCTAACGTAAAGTTCTTTCATTTTGTACATAGTAGTTCTGCAAAAACAAATGTTCGTTGTTAATAAGTACCTAACTGGTACGCTAAGTAATTCATCTAAGTTTCCGTTATATTTGTACTCAACACTGCCTTGAGAAAAGTTTTTATCAGCATTTAGAAAGATGTTTGGAATAAATGATAAATGCTCTGAAATTTGAACACAAGCAGTAATTGAGTAAACCCATTTTCCGAGCTTTCGAAAATGTCTGTTTCTGTTGTCAAGCAAAGAGTGCACATATGAGTAATTGGGAAAGGTCTGGGCAAATACCAAACTTCAGTACGCTTGCGTTATTTTGTTATTGGTGAGCCAAGGCGAGGGGATGGGAAGGGTATGATGAAATATAGCGATCCCGCTCAAACGTAAAGTTCTTTTTTTTGTAGGAGGCAGTTCTGCCAAGACAGATGTAGATTGTAAATTAGTACATATTGGATATGCTAGGTCATACATTTGAGTTTCCTTTACATTATTTATATCAACTGTGACGAGGAAAAACTCAAAATCAACATTTGGAATGAGATTCATCAGTTTGGTTCGAATGATAAATGTTAATGAGAGTTCTCAAAAACGTATGTTTCCTTTGTCAAACAAAAAGTGCAAATGACTGGTGTATTTTTGAAGAATGCAGTCTGATACATATATTTAATAGTCAAGAGTTTCCAAGTATAAATTGGCTAAAGAGTACCATATTTTATAAACTAAAAGGAAAATGTATATCAAACTGGAGAAACGAAATTTATACTCCCCGAAAGGAATCAATTATAGAATATATAAGTACGAACTTTGTTTAGAAAAGTACTTACTAGAACTCCCTCCGAAACTAGCCAAAGCGTATTATAAATTTAGAACATGTAATACTAAGTTACCAATTGAAAGTGGTAGGTGGTTCAATATACCACGCGAAAATAGGTTATGTAGTTTATGCTATTTAAGAGAAATTGGCGACGAATTTCATTATCTGTTTACATGTACACATCAACCAATCCTCAATAGTAGGCGAAAACATATGTCTAGATAGCATTATGAAAGACCAAACACATTTAAATATCATACATTTTTCAATAATGTTACACAACATGAATTGACACCATTGGCTAAATTTATTACCGATATTAATGACATAATTAGTTTACAATACTAATGTCCATCCTGTTCCACCATGTGTTATTGTCACCCATTTGTATGTATGTATTCTCTATACTACATGTATATTGTTTATTAGAATAAAACAATTGTCAGCTCTAAACTGCTAAAAACAACTCCACCTTGCTTGACAAAGGAAATAGACGTCTTCGAAAGCTCGCAAAATAAATGTTCAAATACTGTTTGTGTTCAAAACAAACTTGGCATTTATGTTTCTTTCCGCAAGTTTCATAGAAAAGGTTCTACATGGCTGATATCCGTTCCGACAAAGGTTTCATTAAAATATATCGTTCACATGTTCCGTTTGCGTGAATTGTTCTTGCCACTAAGAAAATGCTCCAGACACGAGAAAATGAAGGATCCGTCTTTTAATTAGGGTTTCATTACAATAGGTAGTTAAGTTGAACCATTTGGACCAACTTCTTCGCGAAACTGCCGATACAGTTGAAGAGCCCAAAACATATAGGGTTTGGACACTCATGCAAATTGTGGTTCTGCCAAGGCAAAGGTTTAACATGAACCTACGTTTTGTTTCGGCAGAGACAATTGTTGCAGACATTTGTGCTTTGTGTTTCTGCTCAGACAAAGGTTCAACATACATGTACATTGCGTTTCGGAATAGACAACGGTTACACACTTGTGTTCTTTG